AAACACCCTCGCAAGGGATATATAACATATTTAAAAAAGGAAAAACAACCTTCACCAAAATACAGTGTTTGTCAAAGACAATAATATTTGTATATGCAGCATTTTTGGTAACCGGCCATGTGCACATCAAACCACACTACAGATACAATGCGTTTATTTTGCTCTAGGCTTATGCTGTATAAAATGCAAGAACAGCACTCAGTGAGCATAGCAGTTTCTCACAGGGCTCTTTTATGTGGGTGCTCAATGTTACAGCAGCAGCAGTAGACTAGTACTAATCAGCTTGTTGGGTTTATTCTTCAGCTGATTTATTTTAAGTGTCACATAAATCCAGAGCAAATGAATGGAGCATTTAGATAGAGTTAAAATTCTTTAACAACCAATTCTTTCAGAAGCACTGACTTCAGGAACAAAAAATGACTGCCTTTATGAGTAAAAATCAAATTAAATCATTTCATAAATTTCATATTCATTCAAGAACAAAACAAGTGGCTAAATTCAGAATAGAAATGGCTGAATGTGACACTGTTGGATACATCAATTGTCTTTACCTACAAAAAAAAGTGTGTTTCACGTTCACAAGTGGCATGCTCAATAAAAAGCGGTTTCATTGTGGATGCACAATGGATTGCAGGTAAATATTCACCTCATCCAATGTTTTTTTTTTTATGATTATTTTCTGTCTAATAATGTATTCTGTTATGTGAGATCACCTGCAAAAAAAAAAAACTCACACTGATTAATTTCAGTGTGTGAGTAAACTGTCCGAATAAATTAAAATGAATCTTGAACCATTTCAGAGCTTTTTTTTTTATAAACTTGTTGTTTATCAAATCAAAAGAGTGATTAATTTGTGAATTTGATATCACTAGTTCTGAGTCTAAATAGCTGATAAAAACACAGCAGTATATATTAGCAGATTTGTAGATTCTTAGGTATATGCTAATCTCCACCATTAGACAAGGATTTATGAGTAATATATTTTGCTGAGGCACAGCAGGATTTCATCGGGGCTCTACCAGTAAAAATAATGACATCCCTGCCTATGATTGGCTGGTCTGATATTGCATAAGAAGTAGGTACTTCTTTCAATTAAGTAATTACATTCTATGAATAGTATGGATCTTTGCAATATGACAGAAATACGGACATACTACATTTATCATGTTGTTCTTATCATGTGGCCTATCAGCAAGAGTTGCATTGCTTCACTGCCATTCACAAATCCTCTCCTGTGGCCTCAAGTGTCCATTGGATGTGCACTTCTTTTTCTCACCAGAAGTAGTAAAACATCCAGGTAATTTTTGACTGCTTTATGAATACTGTGAATTCAAACAAGAACTCTTTTCACATATTGTAGAGTACGGAAGTATGAATATTCAGATGCAGCCACTTTATGAGTGACTCAATGAATCATTCACTCAACCGATTCACTTAAGGGATAAACACCCTCGCAAGGGATATATAACATATTTAAAAAAGGAAAAACAACCTTCACCAAAATACAGTGTTTGTCAAAGACAATAATATTTGTATATGCAGCATTTTTGGTAACCGGCCATGTGCACATCAAACCACACTACAGATACAATGCGTTTATTTTGCTCTAGGCTTATGCTGTATAAAATGCAAGAACAGCACTCAGTGAGCATAGCAGTTTCTCACAGGGCTCTTTTATGTGGGTGCTCAATGTTACAGCAGCAGCAGTAGACTAGTACTAATCAGCTTGTTGGGTTTATTCTTCAGCTGATTTATTTTAAGTGTCACATAAATCCAGAGCAAATGAATGGAGCATTTAGATAGAGTTAAAATTCTTTAACAACATGACTGCACACAGTCCCCTGATGCTCTCTCTGTTTTGCTTGTCTGGCTGCAGCAGAGGGAATTGTTCTACTTACACAAAATGATCTGCATGAATATTTACAAAGAACAGCCTTTTCTTGCAACCCCTACCCCACACGCATACACACTCTTCCTACTCCAATTAAACATTGTTTGTCTTATTTGGGACATGGATATTCATAATGCCAAGCTTAAGACCTTACGGCATCTAAAAAGCCATAAATGAAAGACAAATGTTTGTCAGCTGCAGAAACATTATGCAATCAATCAACTTATTAGAGGCAAAAGATTACTTCTACAACAGAGTGCTGATACCGGCATGAGGAAATTAATGAATTTATTCTAATTGTATCACAGCAATGCATACAGTATGTACCTACCATGTGTTCTGTGGCTGCTTCAACACTTTATCATAGTGAAGGTACTGGAGCGCTTCCTACTGGTGATGCAAATGTGATAGAGCACCAGTGCCACCATGTGGGTGGGACAACAAAGTCAATGAGATTGCTTTTCACTTCTTTCTGTTAGTCCTTTAAAGAAACCACCAATAGAGTTAGTAATAAAGCTCTAAATTGTGACTGTGTTGGTGGCAAAGTGCGCAGATGAACTCTCACTAAGGTTCTTGTTAGACAGAATGATGCCTGTTCCCACGCCTTACAAAATAACAAGCAGACGAGGGCAATGTTGTGTGTCTAAGGGCATTCTGGATGAAGACAACCTAGCAACACAAGGTAAGCAAACATCATCTGTTAAGAGCGCAGATCCCACACCATATGCCTACCTTTGTACTTGTCTCAGATGAACATGAATGAGCATTCTAATGAGCCATTTGGCTTTATCATTAAGCCTAATTATTACATGGGGATATAAATGGCACCTGTGTGGCCACAATTCAATATATCTGCTCAGCTTAATTACTATCACTGCATCATCATAATGGCATTATGTTTAAGAGAATTGATTGCATTCATTAGAATGTACTTAAAAGTCTATTTTGGATATTTGTTAGGAGTATTTGTTTATGGATTTTAGATTTCTGTATTCTTCTAAAAATGTCCATAATTAAGTTTTTTAATAACAGTTTTGCCGTTTATTTAATTGCTTTGTGTTTCATAATTGTATATATTTTGTTGAAAGCCAATAACAAGGAACTGTATCTTTTTTTAAGTAGATTATTTATTTATTTTATTTTATTCCAGACATTACAGGTATGTGGCTATACACAAATTGAAATATCAACAATAAACATACAAACATATATTCACCAGGGTGAAACGTTTGACTACTAGCCCCTGTCTTTCCCACTTCCTGCCAGTAGCACTATCTAAATTAAATGAAAGAAACAGACCTGCACCATTACTCACTCCATGGAACCCACAGTGGAAATGATGTCACCAGTTCCCCAGAGAGGACAGCGCACCGCTGGAAAGGTTACTTCATCTCAGTAACCTTGTTTGCATATGAACGAATGTTGTTTATAGTTTTCCGGCAGTGTTTTTTCCAGTGGTGAATAGGGATCATTTTCAGCTGTCATGAAATGATGGTTGAAATTCTGGGTTTATATTTAGCTCACCGAGGGCATGTGACCAGGTTGCTCCACAAATTTGATTTGTTGATCAGTTTGATGTCATTCCAGTTAATGACACAACACTGTACAAATAGACTTGGATAGGTATGGATCACAAATGCTCTTAGACAGGTGTTAGTACAAGTGACAACATGACAAAAAAAAAAAACATTTTAATGTACTGAATTCTTTCAAAACTCATTTTAATGCAGCAATACGAAATTCTGGCTGTGGACAATTTAAGGTACATGTATACATGTACAAGCAGTGATTGAGACTTTGATATAGTCACTTACCTATAAAATTATTTTCAAACACGCTAGTATTTGAAGTCCAACGGTGAGGTCTGATCAAACCATTTTCCCTATGGAACCTATAGTCATAGAGAAGAACCTCATTACTGACATTACTGGTAATGTAAAGTACCATTAAGTCAAATTAAGCCTCATGCACAATAGTTTTCCACACCTTTTAATAATTACTAGTTCTGTGTTTTTCCAGTGGTTGAACAAGGATCCGATAAGCTAGGGCTGTTTGCCCATCACTACAATGAGAGATGTTCATTATTATGTTCTGAAGAAGAAAAAAAAGTACAATGTTTCATCACTGCTATATCCTAACAGAAGGAAAGGGTTTATTTTAAAAAAATATACCTCTTTTGTTAGGTTTCACCACCTTGCCATATATTTTGTTTACACTGTTTGATATTTATGAAATCTGGAAATAGTCAGTGTTTTCCATATTTCACCTGCTATGATTTCAAAAGTCACACATACTTTGATCATTTTTATATTTCTACTATAAGTAATTGTGCTTATATTTTCTGTCACAACTCTGACATTTCATCTCTGTCACATTATACTAGATAATTCCCATCGTTTTAACATATCTTGTCAACAGTCATTAGATGACAATGGAGCTGAAAATCAGTTTAGAAATGTATTCCTTCATTTAAGTAAATTCTACATAGGTGTATTGAATGTCGAACAGATTAATAAATATGTAAATAAATACATATACCCGGTTTTGTCCCAATACTCAAGAAGTTCTTAAATAAGAAATATATATATGTGTGTGTGTATATATATATATATACACACACACACACATGTGCATCTCAATAAATTAGTCGTGGAAATTTAGCAATGTATGTGTCTCGTGTGTCTGTGTGATTTTCAGGGGAATCTTCAGATTACTGGCAGAGTTTCAGCTGGAGAACAAGGACAATCCTGCATATACGGGTAAAACATCCACCACTGCCACTCAATGCATTTATAATGAAGCCTCTGCTTATTAAAACGGATGATTGTTGTTGTTTGTTCAGGATTGTCTTTCCAGGATTTCTACCAGCGCTGTCGCGAGTCGTTCCTGCTTCAAATATATATATATATATATATATATATATATATATATATATATATATTTATATTGTAGGCCTCCATACGTTACCTGGTGCAGTAAGGGTGCTACTCAGTTATTAAATCAATCCATTTTTTTCTTCTCAATAGAAATACACCTCCAGATAAATATTACAACAAAGCGAATCCCCTGTTATAACGACTGGAAATAATTCTGGCAGGCCTTGCTTGACTCCAGTCTTGGAGACATTTCAGTTGGCATGGACTAGAGGGGGCACAATACAAGAGAGCGCACACTTCCTGGAGCTCAAACAACCTCCGCAGAAAACAAGAAAAACAAACGAGCCCATGGAGGCGAGAGCTGTAAAGTTCTAGCCCCGCGTCCGATGGCTCGGATGGTTTGTCCTGGTTAACGGGACACGTAAAAGCAGGTTTTATCGAGCGGTATTTTCGGGTACATAGAAAGGCCGATGTGCGGAGCGGCAGCGGCGGTGTGGAGTGAGCGCTGCGCGGAGGGGAGATCCATCGACCGCACCAACGCGAGCCAACAAGCGGCCTAGCGCTAACACACAACAGCCGGCGCTTTTATGTCCATGGGATACCCTTAAGCGTACTTCACAGAGACTCTAGGGCGTATTCCCCTTCTGAATGACACCATTTTTCCGTCGTTTGGCATGTCTGACATACTTTAATCTGGTTTGGAGCCTCGTAGCCGCCTGGCTAACGGATTAGATTGACAGGTTAGCTCGTTAGCCGCTAAACAAGTTTTTAAAGTGACTTATCATACACGTATGTCTGTGTAATGCAGACCGTGTCGAGGGAAGAGGCTCTCCAGCTTCGTTTTTATTCTGAAACCGTTCGGTTGTGAAGTCTGAAGAGTTTTGGGACTATAAAGTCTGTTGTTTGTGTATTAATGACTAGCTGGCTAACGAGCTAGCGATGTCTATGTTCTCCGCCGAAATGCTGGAAACAACACCTAACGTTATGTACCCGTTTGAGGAGATAGACTATGCTGATATTGAGGTGGAGGAGGTGAGTGGCATGATAAGCAGGTGATGGAGTTAATAAACACACTGACAGGAGCGTGGAAATGTCCTGCAAACATTCTCGTGATAGCTAATACTATCAGTGGGATGTTTGACATTGTATCTCAGTATACATAACCTAATTTTTAACGTCATCGTTTGTTTTTCACAGTCTCTGTTAAGGCATACTGTTTTTGAAGTACTGATGTCTTTGCCGTTTGTTTTATGAAACACCTTTACACTGTTCTAGGTGGCATTCTATGTTATGTTCTCCTATGGCCTCTTGAATTTTTGTGCTAGGCTTGTTTTGAAATGTTCTGCACTGCTGTGAGGTTGTGAATGTGTGCATTCTTTTGGTGTGATGTTCTTTTACATGCATGTTGTGTAGGTGGTGGGCAGAGGGGCATTTGGTGTTGTGTGCAAGGCCAAGTGGAAAGGCAGAGACGTGGCCATCAAGACTATAGAGAGTGAATCAGAGAGAAATGCCTTCTTTGTTGAGGTACTATCATATTCTGTTTCACTTGTTCACGTTAGTAACTGTAGTCAGAAACAATACATTGTGCATAAACAGACATTTGGTCTATTTTATTTCAAAAAAAGCATTTGATTCTTGAGTCTTCTCCATTCTCTGCTCCAGCTTCGTCAGTTGTCCCGTGTAAATCATCCCAACATTGTGAAGCTGTATGGTTCCTGCAGTAACCCTGTAAGTCTCTACAACATGTTGAGATTTAGTAGATTTTCATGTTGATGTGATGTTTGATGTGAAACTTGATGTTGAAGTGTTTGCTATGGTCAAACCTTTTTTTTTTCCTTGTGAAAAGAAACTTGTTACAAGGTTAATGATCTTTTACTGCAGGTATGTCTGGTGATGGAATATGCAGAAGGGGGTTCATTGTATAATGGTGAGTAGATCTTTTGAAAATGTGCACAGAATTATTAATATCAAAATCAGCTAGAAGTGTAGTAAATATCTAAAATCCTTTGTGAGTCAACAGAAAAAAACATTCATCAGGAACGATTTTAATCATACATTTTGTCAATATGAATACTCTACCATTCAAAAGATTGGAGTTAATAAGATTTTAAAAATAATTTCATACTTTTATTCAGCAAGGATGGATTAAATTGATCAAAAGTGACAGTAAAGACATTATAAAAAAATAAATCATAAATAAATGCTGTTTTTTAATTTATATTCATCAAAGAATATGTAAAACATTGTATAACATTCTCTACATATGGGATACTCCACCCCAAAATGAAAATTTTGTCATTAATCACTTACCCCCATGTCGTTCCAAACCCCTAAAAGCTTCGTTCGTCTTCGGAACACAATTTAAGATATTTTGGATGAAAACCGGGAGGCTTGTGACTGTCCGATTGACTGCCAAGTGAATTACACTGTCAAGGTCCAGAAAAGTATGAAAGACATCGTCAGAATAGTACATCTGCCATCAGTGGTTCAATTTGAATTTTATGAAGCTACGAGAATACTTTTTGTACGCAAAGAAAACAAAAATAACGACTTTATTCAACAATTCGTCTCCTCTGTGACGGGTTACGGGTTTGGAACGACATGGGGGTAAGTGATTAATGACAACATTTTCATTTTGGGGTGGAGTATCCCTTTAAGCAACACAACTGTTTTCTACATTGATAGTAATAAGAAATGTTTATTCAGCACCTAATCAGCATATTAGAATGATTTCTGAAGGATCATGTGACACTGAAGACTAGAGTAATTGCAGCTGAAATTCAGCCTTGTCATGGCAGAAATAAAATGCACTTAAAAATATACTAGAATAGAAAAGGTACTTTAAATTGTGATAATGTTTCACAATATTACTGTTTTTATTGTATTTTTAATAAATGCAGTCTTAGTGAGCATAAAAGACTTCTTTCAAAAGAAAGAACGGACCCCAACCTTATAAATGGTAGAGTATGGTTTTCAATCAGGGGTTTGGGTCCCACTTGGGAGTCTTGGCAAACACTTTTTGGCTCATTAAACATCATGCATCCAGTTGTTGTCAGATCATATTTAGTTTGTTCTGTTGTAGAATTCATTTACATTGATGTATAAAATACTTCGGTGTTTATATACAAATTTGCATACACGCTCAAAGAATCACAACAGGTTCCCTTATGCAGTATTTTTTTGTGGTACAATTTGACATGTTCTTTGATTCCATGGCCCTTTACATAAACATTAAAAACCAGTTGGTTCGAAATTGCTCCTTAACCCCGGGCCTATAGTAATAGCAAGTGCTAAAGTTCTTCTGGGTGTCCAAGCACATGAGGCTGTTCCACAAGTGAGTGAGTGAATTCTTTAGCATGTATGTGTGCTTGTGTTTATGACTATTCTGTGTTGACAGTGCTGCACGGTGCAGAGCCTCTTCCTCACTACACTGCATCTCACGCCATGAGCTGGTGCCTGCAGTGTTCTCAGGGGGTCTCATATCTCCACGGCATGAAACCAAAGGCTCTCATTCACAGGGACCTCAAACCTCCCAAGTATGCACCTCCATCGTTTCTCTGTCATTACACTGTCTTGCATCATGTCACTGGAAACCACTGAGAATTCCTTTTTCTTCTCACCCATGTGATTTTTACAGTTAGTCCTTGTCATGTAAGTTCTCTCTGTCCATGAAGATTTGTGTTTGCTTTTATTCAAAGACAAGGCTCTTAAACGCACTTGATTGCTTTGAGTCTTGCCTGACTTCTTGTGATCAAATCACCTGAGATTAATACCACGCGCAAAACCACGTTCATATTCGCGTGATTTTTTTGCGCAGTTCGTCAGTGAACAACGGCTCTGTGTAGTTAATGCTGCTCAATGTGAAAGCACGCACGTGATGGAGATTTACCGCTGATTACAGAACCGGCTTTCTGACTAGATGCGCGTTAAATATCGCATGCGATTTATCGTGCAGCCCTAACTCTACATGTGTTGACTGTTTTTTGACTGTGATGGAAATGTTACTGGATCATTCAGGGCTGCCATTAATCATAAATGCTGTCCGGTCTGGGTGTCAGAGGGTGTATTGTATGTTCTGGAGTCTTACGCTGCATCACTTACATCATGGCAGCGTATGGTGTTGTCCAGGCCAGGGCTGGTTATTTATGAGGCTCTGTTTGTAAAAAGCCCTGGCAGCACACCATGGAAATGGTCAGCTGGCTTCTCTCCCAGACACTGAGAATGAAGTTCTCGGGAAGAACTGGGTTATTACTAAAATTTGATTTATTACAGATCACTAAAGCTGGCATCAAACCCCCATGAACCATTCAGAAGTGCTTAAACTGCATTTAATAGGACTAAAGTTTGTGACTTGTTAACCGCCATCTGTATACCTCCATTTCTACTCAAAATATTGCAGCAGTTAAAAATATGTGGTTAATGTCTGTTCTCTAGCTGGAATACATATTCTGTTACACCAAATACACAAAATAATTATCTTTAAAAAAGCATCATATGACCCCTTTAAGAATCAAGGCACAAACACTCCTTTCTACTTTCTCTTCTCTTTAACCCTTAAGACAACTTCAAACGTTTTGGGGTCAGAATAATTTATTAATTTATTTATTCATTCATTTTTTTTAAGAAATCAGTACTTTTATTCACCAAGGATGCATTCAGTTGATCAAAAGTGACAGTAAAGACAATTATAATATTACAATAGATTTATTCCAAATAAATGCTGTTCTTTTAAACTTTCTAGTCAACTGAAATAAGAAATGTTTCTTGAACACCAAATCAGCATAATTGAATGATTTCTGAAGGATCCTGTGATGCTAAAGATCGGAGTAATAACTGCTGAAAATCACAAGAATAAGGCAGAAATAAATTACAGAAATATAAATTTTCAATATATACAAATTCAAACATAAAACAATTATTTTAAATTGTATTAATAATTCACAGTATTTTTACTGTTTTTGATCAAGTAAATTCAGCCGTGGTGAGCATCTTTCAAGAGAGGTTTCTTTCATAAACAATAAAAACATCTTATCAACTCCAAACATTTGATCAATAGGATATTTATTGTGTTTAACTTATTAAGTAATGTTTTTTTTCCGAAGCCACTTAACGGCATCGCAATAAATTTATAATATATAAGCCAACAATATATACAATACCAGAAAATAAAGATGTTAGTAATCGGGTTGCACACTTTATTGCAACTGGTATTGCAGTGAATGGGAATGCTAAACTGGCTAAGCACACTGCTTAATAGACTAATAAGCAAAAAAAAAGAACAAAGTTGCAGAATTTGTCATAATTTGGTGACTTAATCTGAGACCACTTTTGCCATAGTAATCCCATGATGCCTAAAATGTTGTCTGTGAAGTGAGTTCGCTAAATGTTTTTCTTCTTCCTGGAGATGTCTCTGTTTATATCTTTTGTATATTTTTGCTCCTAGTCTGCTCCTGGTTGCTGGAGGTACAGTGCTGAAGATCTGTGACTTTGGGACAGCATGTGACATCCAGACACACATGACTAATAACAAGGGAAGCGCAGCCTGGATGGCCCCAGAGGTGTTTGAAGGCAAGTTTCAGGAACTGGCCAAGAACTTTTGTTCATTTTTGTACAGCCATTGGCTTGTAAATGGGCTGGGGGGGGTTTTCTTTTTCTTTTCTCAGATGATTTTGATGCCAAAACTTACTTGTTCTTCTTTTCACCTTTTTTCTGTTTCTCATTAATTGACTTCTCATAGGCCATTTCGGTCTTCACTATCACTCATACAAATATTTCCCCAAAACCAGGGTTGGTGGACGTTCCTGGTCTAGATGATGGATGAAATCATTATAATTTAATGCATGCATTCGCAATCAACCGGTAATGGGTTTCAATTTTACCAAACACGTTCAGGGGGGGGTCGGAGGAAACATCAATTAGGAGCAGGTTGTTATCTTGTTTGTTTGGGGAGGAGCAGAAATCCCATGTTATTACTCCACTAGCAATGCCAGCAGAGGAGACGCAGCACTGCTCATTTGCCACACTGACAACAGTATTATCAGAAGACCAGAGTAGGGCAGTGTAAAGACATACTAGCGCGAGGCGCTGTAATTTAAGAATAATAAGAGCAGCAATTAAGGCTCTCCAGGGCAGCATGAGAGGAAATTAGCTCATCTGTTCAAAAAGAGCCGACAAGATAAAGGCTCCCCCACCCTGGATGGCAGAAAATGAGCTTATGGGAAATAGCTTTGATTCTTTGTTGTATGTTACCATTTGCATCAATGTTATATTGGGCAGCTTAATGTAAATGTCAACCATACCAAGAATAATTCTTTATTTACTAAAGGAGCCAGACCCCTTGAAAATAGTTTATTTAGGTCTATATTTTATTGTATATAACATCTATAATTATGTAAAAATTAATTGTGATAAATAAATGTAAGGAAATTTGTTTATCAAATGGCATTTATTAGAAATCAAAAAATGTTGTTACATTATAAATATCTTTACTGTCACTTTTGATCCATGTAATGCATCCTTATTTAAACATTATAAAAATGTTAATGCAATAATAATAATAATACAATAATTCTCTTTCACAGAAACATTTAAAAACCTTTTTGTAGTTTGGTAATTACAGGAATACCCAATAGCTGTGAAGCATGTCAATATCTTTTTCAGAATAAAGGCTTAACTAGAATGTGGACCTTAATCAGGAAATGATGAGCATGTAAAGGTAATTGCTGTCTGTATGTGTATGCTGCAGGCAGTAACTACAGTGAGAAGTGTGACGTGTTCAGTTGGGGTATTATTCTCTGGGAGGTGATCACACGCCGGAAGCCCTTTGATGAAATCGGTGGCCCTGCTTTCCGCATCATGTGGGCTGTGCACCGTGGTAAGTTTTACGTTTGCTTGTTTGTGCCCCATCTAAGACTCTTTGTCTTTTTGTTCAAAATTAGAAGCTTCAATCATCTTTCCTTCTGTAGGCACGCGTCCACCTCTCATTAAGAACCTACCGAAGCCCATAGAGAGTCTGATGACTCGTTGCTGGTCCAAAGACCCATCGCAGCGGCCTTCCATGGAGGAGATAGTGAAGATTATGAGCCACCTTATGAGGGTAACACCACACTGGCAGCATGCCTGGCAAATCATCCCAATGTTCCTCGCTGTCTATTCTGCATCTTATTCTGCCTCTTCAGTCTGATCCCTCTCTCCCCCTCTAGTATTTCCCAGGATCAGAAGAGCCTCTTCAGTACCCTTATCAGTATTCAGATGAAGGCCAGAGTAACTCTGCTGCCAGCACAGGTACAGAATAACAAAATAGGCTTGAATAATAAATACTTGTTCATGGCTATTTCATTTGATTTTATTTTGTTCAAATCATTTTCTGATGGTGCAGGTGAGAAAACAAATGGTTTAGATGCAAGTTTAGATGCTTTGACTAAATTCTTCCATACTGTTAGACTACCGTTCAAAAGTCTGGGGTCAGTAAGATTTTATTTTTATTGACATTTATTCAACAAGGATTATAACAAATAGATCAAAAGTGACAGTAAAAGCTTTTACATTACTACAAAAGATTTGTATTTCAAATAAATGCTGTTCTTTTTAATTTTGTATTCAAAGAATTCTGAAAAGCGTATCAGAGTTTCTACAAAAATATTAAGCCTCACAACTGTTTTCAAATGTGATAAGAAATGTTTCTAGAGCACCAAATTAGCATATTAAAATGATTTCTGAAGGTCAGTGTGACACTAAAGACTAGAATAATGGCTGCTGAAATAAATTCTTAAATATATTAAAATAGAAATGTTATTTTAAATTGTAATAATATTTCACAATATTTTGTACTTTTTTTTTTTTATCAAATAAAGCATAAGAGACTACTTTCAACTAAATGAAAAAAACATCTTACCGCCATGAAACAATTTAACTACAGTGTATATAGGAATGTTGTTTAATTTTTGGATCTTTTTAGAAGGGTACTGAAGTCAAACTTAAATTTTGTAAATTTAAATAACACATCTCTCTTATCCAGGCTCATATATAGACTACACATGTACCAGCAACAAGAACGATATCAACATGGAGCACACCAACTCCCCTGGCAGCAATGACACCATCAAGTTCCCATATAAACCAAAGGTAACACATCTGTAGTCTACATAACCACACAAAGACAGTGTCCTCTAAGAAAGCTCAGAAGTGGAATTGATATTTGTGTATGTTTCAGGGCGACCCGTTAAGGCCTGGTCACCCTCTCTCCAGAGGGGGCAGTGTAGAGAGTCTTTCTGGCAGGCCACAATTTCTGGCTTCCTCCGACAGCAAACGAATGAGCACCGATCTCTCCGAACTGGAGCACAGATTGCCCTTTGCTCCCGCAGGTAACTTGCCTCCTCAGTACTGAATTTTCATACCTTCCCAGAAATTCATTAAGAGACAGTGACCATTTATATTTCATACATAGAACTCAGTTTTATTTAACATTGATTCATTAATGTGGAGTTTTTTTTCTCTCTTTTGCAGTAGACACAAATATTGATATATTTGTAAACTCCACACCTTTCTATTCCTGTTACCAAATTTGTCCTCAGGTTGACATGTTAACAAAGAACACACACCACTAACAATGTCCCTTTTATAGACATTGACCTCACTTTTCTGTATTTGCACTGGCTGAATAGTGCATACACTAGTACCCAGTGTTCTGCTGACCTCAGCCAGTGCGCCCAAACACATCAGATACGAAGAGCTGCATGGCATCTCCATTCATCCTTTGATCTGTCCTTCTGCAGTCACTCATTCCAGCAGGCTTCCTGCCTCTGCACGGATGTATGTGCTCTGTGTATGTGTGTTGCATGTATGTTCTAATGTAGCTGAAGAATGGAGCGACATCCCTTACCCAGTCTGCTTTGCTGTCTGCACTACTGTCTCTCTCTCTGTCTCAGTACATACATTGTCTGCATGCCTGTGTTCGTCGCTACATGCGTGTGTCTGTATGTGTGTTTTTGCAGCACGTCCACAATTTAAGCGAGGTCACCGTAAAACGGCATCACATGGCACCATTCTGGACATTCCCAAGATCATCGTCACAGGTACCGGGAGTTCAGGCGCTCCCAGCAAACAGCTTCTAATCAGAGAAGGCCGTCACTGTGACGCACAAGCACGCATTGGTTGTTACTTCAGAATGTCTCATATCCCCCGTCACCCTGACTTAGTGGAAAAGAGTAGAAAAAGACGTTAAAGAACATTAACGTATGATCCTTATCCAAACATTTGCATACACATGCATTTATGCTGTGGACAGGCAAATTGCAGTGATGCCCAATTACTATGGTAGAAACTCTTGATCTTATGGTTAGTTTTGAACCGGATTGAAGCCATATACTCCAGTTGATCCACTGGACAAATTTGCTCTCCAGTTGATTGTGCAGTTCCATTTGGTACTTTATTATAGGGATGTAACTGTATGAAAATTTCATATCACGGTTATAGTGACTAAAGTTATCACGATTATCAATATTATCACGGTTTTGTTAAAATTAGATGAACATGTTCAAAAAGAACTGATACACTGAAAACATAATACAATAAGTTTTATATTTGAAAATCAACAAACAACAAATACAATTAGCAGCTATATGCACTTTTTTAGCATAAACATTAAATTAACATTAACATGAAGCTCTAATAATAATAATAAAACAACCACATTGCATGCTGCTTCTGCGTCAGACTGATGCTGGCTGGACAGGATTTACCGCGAGTTTTCAAAATCGCAATAATCAAATACGGTTTTGATGATAATTCAATTTTAAACGATAATACTAACCGTCAGGGCATTTTATCGTGATTTATCGTGAAACCGGTAATCGTTCCATCCCTACTTTATTATTTAAAATAATTTAATAATTACAAAATGTCAAATGGTGATGGAAAATGCATCAATTAAATGACACAGATACTGCAAAAAGGGCAAATAAGATTGTTAACCCAGAGTTTAGGAGTGTGCAGTAGGGCTGTGCGATATATATCTATATAAACGATACGTGATTTGACATTATCAAGTATATCGCAAAAACGCACCAAGAGAGTGCACGCATACACTGAGATGTAGGTTAGACTACTGCGCGAGCATGTTTAGAGTTCACGCTTTCACTGCATAATTTAGTCTATTAAAATACCTTTAGAATTTCCCCAAAATTCAAGATAAGGGGGCAAAAATGTCCCTGTATGTGTCTTTTATATTTATGTCATCTGATATAGTTAATATTACTTTATCATGAAGAGTACAGTTTTTTTTCTCTAAATATGAGCATGATTGCAAATGTGATATTGATTTTATAAAATAAAACAAAGTTCATATTAATTGACTTTCATTTTAGAGCACAAGTTACTGTTTTGGATCTGTTTCATCAATGAAAATAGTTCCAAACAAGCCACATCAGAACTGTTTTGCGTCTCTGAGCAACACACTACAGTGTTTAGTTACTGAATCAATCAGCTGTTTAAAGGAATCTGTTGAATGAATAACTCAATGACTCACTCATGCAGTGATTTACCGCCACCTACTGGCAATTTTAGGTTTATATTTAAAGTATATTTTCCCTTTTTTCCCCAGAATATTTCAAATATCAGTATTCAGCTTAAAAAAATATATATAAAATCATCAAAACATTATTTATGCATTTGTAACTGCAGGTTAAATGCATGCATGTCCTGCATTAAACAATCTGGTGCTCTTCCGATGCAGCTTCTGTGCCACCTCTGCATTGCAAACACAAATTTTGTTGATACTGATTTCATTTTATTGGTAACAGCCCTGTAGTGTCTTACTATTTTAATTTATTGATTAAATTTGACACAAAGGATGATGTATACATTTAATTAGGCTTGAAAAAAAATGGCCTTATAAAGGTAAAAATCCACATAAAAGGTAAAAATCAATTTAAACTTTAAAGTTAATTTCTGTTACTCCTGCAAACTAAACACTGCACAGAATATGAAGAATATCAAAAGCTTTGGGAGTCAGATGTCCACAGCAGTCCTTAACCTGCCAAGGTACCAGCACAATAACACTCTCAGCAAAACATTGTCTAATTATCATTATCGACAAAATTCCAGAAAATGTCGAGATATCATTTGTCATTATCGCACACCCCTAGTGTGCCGTGTCAAACATCAATTTATGAATTGGTAAAAAAATAAATATTTTTTGTCAGATTTGACGGTGAATAGTGTTCCTGGAGTAACAGCCATTTTAATCAATTCTTTCTCTCTCTCTCTCTTTGCTCTTTTTGATTGTAGTGAACTGCAGGCAATGATTTTCGCACCCCATCCTCATGACAGCTTCTGCCTCTTACCACTAGAGGCACCTTTTTAATGCTATTTTAAAAAGATCAAGAAAATCCCATAAGTAGTGATTTAAAGTGATTCACTTGATCAGCATGTGTGGTGACAGTGGAGATGGGGATGTGGATTGATATGCCTGCCTCAGTCTTCCTGTTTGGCTTTGTAGCAGGTGAAAGAGGATCAGCCAGCGTGTGTGTTTGTGTGTGTGTGTCTTTCTCTCTCTCTCTCTCAGTGGTCGTACACTAGCTCGCCCTTGTCTTGCCTGTAGAAAGGATATCGCAAAATGGTCTGCTTTTTGTTCGTGCTTCCTCCATACACACACGTTCATTAATTCAGTGGATGTGGTTGTGATAAATCTCCTTCGTATTGAGGGTCATTGCTATTATTATCTTCATCATCCCTAATAAAGCTGAAGGAAATGGGACATTGAAGGATTGCGGAGTGGGGAAAAAAATTGATCAAAGCCGGAGTTGCATGATGAAGAGGTTATTAATTTGGTGTAACAATGAAAAAATCTGATTTGCATCAGAATTGTTTCCCTCCTGCATGCACACTCTTAACCTGTCAATCATTTTTGTTATTCTCAAAATCATTTTGACATGGAATTGACCTCATCCGTCATTATTAATAATAAAGGAGTTAAGGGCATATTCATTATAGAGTATTAATTTTTTTTTTCTACGATTTTTGTTGTAACATTTTATTTTTAATTTTTTAATTGTGTTCTTGAATGGGCTGATATCATTGCTTAAGAGAGATTCCATCTATATTAAAGCAATATTACTGGTTAAATGCAAATTAGAGTCTATCAGCAGTATCTGTGGCATACAGCTGATGACTACATCATTTTGACTCGTCTTTCAGGTTTTGAAATGTATTTAAAGTGATAAACTTTTTTTTTTCTTACTTAAAGCACTTTTTGAATTTAGGAGTAAAGAAATTATCTGTAAAATTGTTTACATCGTAGTTTTGAGGTAGAGCTACTTTTCTAGGTGGTTACCAACATAGTTGCTTTAGGTGGAGTTTTGCTTTACAAAGAGTTACATCACATTCCTTCATTGTATCCTTGGAAGAATATAAAGTGAAAGTAACAGGGTTTACTTTTTTAAGGTAGGCATGACTAGTTTAAAGGATGGATGCAACTTTGCATAGACCAGGTTAGTAAACGATTGTTACACTTGTCTTACGCTAACTTGTAAGACAGTAGGTAAACTTTCTAAACAGTGAACGTTTTCTATTTTCTATTTTATTTACTTCATCGTTTCCTTACACTACAGAAAGAATTTATTTTTTTAATCAACCTGCCACAGATGATGTATGTAGAGCTTTAACCTGGAATATTCCTTCTAATCATTTGCATCATGTATTTTCTGTACATATAGTGAATCATATTTAGTAAGTCACAGTCTATCGTTAATGGTTGCATTTCATTTCTGCTGGTACTGTTCTAGATGCTTTACCTGAATAATAGTTTGCCTACAATGAGATTTGTGTGTGAGAGTATGTTTATTGGCTTTAGTAAACTTGTGTTATCTTCTAATAGTCATGATTGAGAGTACAGCTCCTGTCATCATTGCTGCTTCATGTTCTATAAATACAAATTCATTAAATTCCCCCCCCCCAAAAAAAAACAGTCATCACTCTATGATAGGAGCTGTCCAATCAGTGCAGGCCAAGCTGCCCGTGTGATTTTGTTGATGTGGTCTGCTGATTTTGGTGTAAGGTGTGTGTGTTTTTGTTTTTTTTTGCTGGGACGGCCTTGTGAGGGGTTTGGTCATGTGAAGGCCACATTAGAGGAGATGCTGTCATGGTAGTGAGTTGGGAATTTAATCAGTGCAGCTGTCGGAGTATCACATCCCTCTTGCTCCAGCCCTGGGACGAGAGCTCATGCACTACCAATAAGACTTATCAGATTCCTCTTTTCTTTCCTTTCTCTCTCTTTCGTCTCTTTTTGCAGCAACTTGTGAGCCTCATAGACGCAGTTCAGTGCAGGATCTTCCTGCCATTGGTACGGAGTCCAGTCAGGTAGGATACTTCGATTTTCTTTCAGTGGTGCAATGTGTAAGGAACTGGGAAGAGTTTAGATGCGACAAACAATCTTCACTATAGCGTTTTTACAGTCATGTAACTAAACGCTGTTCCATATCTTCTGCAAAATATTCTCTCTCACATCTGAGTATGCACTGGGAGGACACAATGGTTTATCGAATAAAAAATAAATTGTGGGTCTAGATTTTCCCCGGGGGGCTTTTGAACAGTCGAATCCTAACATCATCTAGCTCTGCTCCCTCACACTTGTCCTCAGCGCTCTTGGGAGTTCATCCAAAGTTTAGGCAGTTGACGGTTGAGTTTCATTCTCCTCGTTTGTTCGTTTTTCTTCCTTTACTTATTTTTTTTTTTCTCCAAGTACTGCATTTTCATATGCTTTTTTTTTTAGATGGGTGAATTCCATTTAGATGTAAATATCACTATGTACTAGTAATAATACACTGTAGATAATACTTTTTAATGCTTTTAAAAATGTTTTAAGCTCAGCAAGGCTGTATTTATTTGATAAAAAAATACAGTAATATTGTGAAATATTTTACAATTTAAAAATAACAGTTTAATATATTTTAAAATGTCATTTATTCCTGTGATGGCAAAGCTGAATTTTCAGCAGCCATTACTCTAGTAATATTATTGTCAATGTTGAAAACAGTTGTGCCGCTTAATATTTTTTGTGGAAACTATGATGCTTTTTTCCAGGATGAATAGAAAGTTCAAAGGAACAACGTTATTATTTGAAATAGAAATCATTTGTATCATTATAAAAGTCTTTGTCACTTTTGATCATTTTAATGCATTTTTGAATTTCAACTTGCATACTAATAAATATTAATAAAGATATAATTTCCTCTGAATGTGTGAGAGCAGTTAAAATCCCAGGTAGGACCTTCAGTAATAGACTTTAGGTTTCAAAATTAATTGTAACAATGTTGCACACATGATTGTAAATAGCTGTATTGCTTCCATAAGGGGACCATCATATGCACACTTTTTTAAAAGGGCCTTTTATAAAAGGATCCGTAGCATCTTCTCCCTGCGGTGCTTTTCAAGAGACTTTGGAATCCCCAATATTTTATTGTCAATATCAAAAATTATTTTATAACTGATATATTGTTTGACCAATTACAGGATAGTAGGAACAACAGCAGAGCATCCAGTCCCAGTGTGAGGATGATTACGCCAGACAAGACAGGTAGAGTCAAGCATTTTCCTTTAAAAATTCCTTTTAAATTACATCATTGCAGAATGTGACATTTTATAAAGAGATTTCTGAACACGCTGCTTAAGGTTCCCTCAGTGTGACCTCAAAGTTCACGTCCTCCGTGTGTTTGCGTGTGTAAATCAGTATCAGTGACCGTAAACAGCTCAGGCAGAGCGGCAGACGTTACGTAAGCGTCATCAATGATTTAAGATGCTTTTCTGTCTGACAGTCGCAGTCCTGGACTGAGATGAGACTGGGCTATTTATTGCTGAACTCTCACTCTCTGTTTCTGCGGATTACCAGATTTTACTGTTAGCATTAAATAACAAACTAAAAAACGCTTACTGCGTTGCGTAGATCTACTTCAGATCCAAATATTATAAAGAACCAGTGATACAGATGGAATAAATCAGATCTTCTGTCCTCAATTTATGGTTTTCTGATGTTTCCTCATTCTTGTAGACACCAATGGCTCAGATAACTCCATCCCCATGGCCTATTTGACCCTGGACCATCAGTTACAGGTACACACTTCTAGGTTGAGGTATTAGAGAGAAAATTATAGATGTGAACGATATGATACAATACAGAATTTGGTATGATTTTGGCCACCAAAAATAGACTAAAATGTGAAACTTTGAAATGCTACACATTTTTAAAAAATAATTTAAAACAAAAAATGCTGTAGTTTTAAATTTTTCTAAGTTTTCAGCTCAGTCTGTCCAGAATTTTCATTTTATTTTCAGAGAAGAATTTTCATTTTGGTGCATCACTAATTGTGAAGTATGACTGCACATGCATGGAAACTGTTTAGTCTATATCTGTGGTGTGGATGGTTTTGTTTCCAGGGTGCTGTGGTAACCCTCCTCTCAGAAGTTTCCCAAGATGTTAAAACAGCCCTCTAATTGAATCAAGTCTGGGTACGTTTGATGAATGAATCTGGGTTTGTTTGCAGCCTCTAGCCCCGTGTCCAAACTCCAAAGAATCAATGGCAGTGTTTGAGCAGCACTGTAAGATGGCACAGGAGTACCTGAAGGTGCAGACAGAGATCGCTCTTCTCATACAGAGGAAGTAAGTGAGGAATCTGAATCAAATCATATAATTAGTATGTACAATATACATCTGGGTTCCCCAGGGTTATTATTTTTAAAGCTGCAGTCTGTAACTTTTGGCGCTCTAGCGGTTAATAAACAGAACTGCGTGCGTCTTGCGGAAGAACATTGTAACCGGAGCTACTTCTCTCTGTTTATGTCTATGACGAATCACACAGGTACTGGGCTTCACGCAGGTACTGGGCTACTCCGCAGCGGTACCTACCCCAACCAATCTAAAATAGTCTGAATATAAACACTTATCATAGGTGTACCGTAGTGATTCAGAACAAGCCAAAAACACGGTTTGGAAAATGGATTCATGGTGTACTCGCTTATTATAAAAATGTTGTAAATTTTGAACACAAAAAAAGTTACGGACTGCAGCTTTAACTAAAGCTATTAAAATTTTATTTTATTAATTCAAATTAAATTTATGAAAACCTTAAAATTTAAAAATGTTGCCTTGGCAACTAACTGAAAGAAGTTTGAGATGAAGCACTGAAATTATTAATGGGAAATACAAATTAAATAAAAACCTAAATAGTAGCATAAAAACTAATACAAATGAGTTGACAAAAGTAAAAATGAATTAAAAGTAAAATATAAACTTTAATAGTATATAAATAATAGTAAAATACTACTGGAGTTTCCACAAAACCAATAAATGTATACTGTGAAACTAATTCTAATATTACAGCAAGAATATATGTAAAAGTCTAACTCTATTATTTAAAAAAGTTATATAATATATATATAGAACCTATTAAATATTTAAATTATTTATATTTTTTTTGTAGAAAATATTTTAAAATGTTTATCAAATTGGTTATGCAATTTTTTGTTTTAAATATGGTGAAATTAATAACTTTATGTTCTCAATTGTATGATGCTGTTTTGCTCCTCCTGAAAATAAATCGTTCCAAACCTTTCTTTCTTCTGCAGAACACAAAAGAATATATTTTGAAGAATGTTGGTAACCAAAAAGTTTTTGTTCCCATTGATTTCCATATTCATATTGTTTGACCATACTGTGGAGTTCAGTGGGAACTGAAAAGGTTTAATTAAAGGGTTGATACAAATAGCCTAAAACAATTGAATAAAGAAACTCATCTTTGGCCTTGAAGCATTGCAAGTATCTAACAGGCGTATGTATCAATTGTTGAAGTAGACATTCAAAATTACATGCAAAGCTATCATGTAAAATTAAGCTGTTGTATTATATTACACAGAGTACAACAAAACAACAATCTAGAGTTGTGTTCATTGAAATGCAATCTAATATGTCCATAACAGTTGTTCAAACTCCTATTAGTTACTGATAAACGATGTGTGTACTACAGATACTAAAACAACAATACCAGTATAAATTATATACCAGAGTCTTCTCTAATGTACATCTCTACAGGAAAGAGCTGATAGATGAGCTGGACCAGGACGAGAAAGATCAGCAGAACGCGTGTCGCCTCGCTCAGGAGCACAAGAAGCTCCTAGAGGAGAACAAGAGTCTGTCTACCTACTACCAGCAGTGCAAGAAGCAACTGGAGCTGATCCGAGCACAGCAGCAAAAGAGACAGGGCACCTCATGAACCCCTTTCATTATGAAATGGAGCTAGACTGACTCTATAATCACAGTCCCCATTATCTTGTTCTCCCCGATCCAAACATTGGGGTGGTTTATCTATAGTTTGGCCCAGAAACCCCTTAATTCTGCCTGTTAAAGCACCCATGAAACCTGTGAAGATGGTAACCGAATGAAATGTGCTTCACAGTTCAAGTGACCGTGGGTCATTTCCGCCAGTGCAAACCGTTCCAAGACCCTGCACTCAACTGCACAAGCATGCTGCGTTCCAGGTGCCCGTGAATCCCGCAGGATATGCAATAGCAGGGCCACAATTAAAGCCAGGTGGGTGTAAAACACAGACTGTTGGCCACTGATAAACACACGCAGTTCTTCAGAGATCTACAAGTCTAAACAAGCCAGCAAATGCATTTTATTTTCAAAAGAGGAAACCTGCATTTTACGCCAGGGCTTTTAAGCATAGAGATGTTTAAAAGAAGGATGTAAAATAAGGTCTTTTGGAATGTCACTTGTTTTTCCCCCTTCCTCAGACATCCCAGAATTCTCTGTAAGGTTTGCCTGATTCCCCTCGATTAGGTGTTGGTCCTTGAGAATGTGAAAGCAAAGTTACATACAAAAGCTAATTTTATCATTTTCAATTTAAATTTTTATTTTGTTGCATTCACTTTGCGTGTACTTTTCATTTTAACCCCTTTTTATGCAAAAAAAAAAGTGCTATAGACGTTTCCTTTTTTTGATTTGTCTGCCCTAAAAAGTGTTAGAATGTATTGTTTGAAATCGGGGGATGTATCTTACATATGCCTTGCATGTCGACCTTGTGTTTATGGAAAAACAAAGGACGATCTGTGTGTATGTGCGGCCTCACAAGGAAATGCCGTTTGTAATCCGCTTCCCTTAACATCCCATTTGAAAACCATCACTCTAAAAGAACAAAACAAATGGACTTGAGTGTATGTGATTGTGAGTACAAACATTTTAATCATGACTTCAGTATTCTTGGGTTTCTTTGCTTTATCTAACTATGTATGGTAATTTATCCATGGTTTTCAGAGATCCGCTTCATAGTTTTTGTTGCAAGTGTGGGAAAGATGCTCTTTCTCCGAGCTTGATTTATGTATTTTTAGTTCACATGATGCCTTGGAGTTGAACCGCTTGCATTTTATTTGACTTGTTTTGTTGCTTTTACCGCAACGAGACCGCTCACATTATGCGCTTAATGCAATTACGAGTTTAGAAACGTGAGTGAGAGTTTTAAAAGGCCTGCGAATGCAACATGAATGAAATCAAGAGCGGTCAGATTGTTGTCTGGTCTGAATTATCTTGTCAATATGCTGCAGAAATCATGAAATTACGATAAGGGCAGTCGAGCCACTCTGGTTCATTTTAGTTCAGTTCCTTGTTCTTACCACTAGTTTTACATCCCTGTACTTCATTTAAGAGAAATCAGAGCCGTATTGTTATATTAGGTTATGAATTCCTTTTAGATGTCACACTTTTACTTTGTTGCCCCCAATACAAACTCAACCCACGTTTTTGCACAATGCCACCATGACTGGTTCTCACAGAATGCTCACTATAACCGTGAAAATCTTGAGCAGGGTAAAGACACATTTGGATGTTAAAGATCTTCAAGTGAGTTCTCTGCAAATCTTTTTGTTTAACAGTGGAGTGGTGTATTTTATTTTAGTTTTTTCTTAGAGTTCAATGTTCATAATTAGTTTCTGTACTATGTGCTGTAAATAAGATGTCTGATTTCTTAAGCTGTTGGGAACGGGAATACACAGGTGAAGGTCGCATCTTGAAATAAATCGAACAGGTAAACATGCCTCGGGACTGACTGTGTGCTGTTTCTGTCACGTCAACATTTTTATAAACAGGATGTTGTTCACAAACTCTCTCTCTCTCTTTATTTTTATGCATACATTAATTTGTATTTATAATAAAATTGTACATGTAAATACAAATACATATATAATGTAACCAAAAATCATTCACAGTTAGCAGATGTATACAATGTATAAAATGTATTTTTATCTTATTTGATAATATAAAGAAATAAGTTTGGTGTTCTGCAGTGACTGAATATGCTGTTTGATGTTTAAATTGTGTAATTATGTATGGATCTTGCTCTAGAAGTATTTAGTATTATAAGCCAACATATATTGAAGCAAGGTGAAGATGTAGGATTATAGTGTTGATATAAATGAATACTGTGTACATTATATGTACATAATCACACTATACCAGCAACTGGGTTTTAGAATACAGCTTTCATTAGAGTAGTCATTTTAAGAATGGCAGGATAAAGCCTGTAATTATACAAAGTCTAAATGAAAGATAAATTTATCATTTAAAAATATTTTCTCTATTATAGATCAGTGGTTAAATCATTTTAGAGTCATGTTAGGGTTGATAGCTACGTTGTCATGGCGATGAAGTTAATTGTTTGTTGTTTCACACAGAGAATGTTAGTAAATGACTTTTTTTTACATTAAAAACGTGTGGGGGGGAAATGAATATTCTTTATGTCTTGGGCTTAACCTTCGAAATTGTATTTTATGAACATTTTATCACTGTATTGTATTTCCTCAGTGCCTTACGGTAACTGGGAATTTGACGTTATTTATAGAAAATGAAGCACCAGTGGAAGTTATTTATTGTCTATTTCTTGTAATCAAAACTTGGCCATCGATTGGGTTTCCCTTGGACTATTCCTTTAATGTTTTGAAGATGAAATGCTTATTTCAACCAGGAGAGGGCGATATAGCTTAAGCCATTCATTGCTCTTCATCCGTAAACCCTTCCTGTCTCAAACAAAGGAATCTGGTGTGATGCTGAGACGGTGCTGATTAAACACACGCACACAAATGACACTGACAAACGCAACTACGTGCATCAAGTATTTCTTCAAAAATTACTGAACCATAATTTCTTAAGTTAAAGAAGTAAATTAAAGGAATATCATTAGCAAAAGAAGTAATAGCAAATATCTTCAGATAAAGGAACTTGAGGGAGGTGGTGTGTATTACAGCCTAGAATAACAAGTATTGTGCAAATTAGGTTTAAATGTTACCTGCTCTGATCAGTTGTTGACACGCCATGTGCTTGAGGTTGGAGCGACTTGAATCAAACTCATTCAATTCACATGATGTCATTTCTCTCTCCTTTGGTGAACTATTGTGTGTTGTGGCTTCTCTGGCCAGTGTTAAGTGTTCAGGAGGTTGAGAAAGGGACTGAGGGTATTGTTTAGGGGCCATCGGATGAGATGCTGTCATCCTGGCCTTTTGTTTTTTGTTGTTCTGAGCGATGGCGAGAAATGAGAAACAGACTATGAAGGGTTTAGGGTGACCGGAGGAACCCTGGGCTTCAATGAGGTCATCAGGAACAGTTACACATTACAGAAACTGCAGGGCGGTCGTGACATTTCTGTATCTCTGTGTACCGGGTTACAGTTTGTGAATCAATTGTGAGTTAGAAGCTGATGCAATAAAATCATACAAGTTGTTAATAGCAATGTGAAGCATTCCCCAGACAGCAAAGCGTGTGTTTTTTTTTTTTAATCTTGCACACTCTATCACCGCCGTTCCTTGGAAATACTTGTCAATTTCAATGCATCATCATTCTCTCTTTTTTTTTTGTTGGTGACAAAGTTTCTCTGAAATTTGTATTAGATCTCTCTCTTTCTCATCCTCTCCCCCTCTTTTTCTCTCCCTGTAACCATGGTAACTGCCTGGAAATAGGCTAGGAATGGTAGAGGTGGTTGCAGTTTTTAGTAATGGCCAGAATTTGGGTCATAATATCTGTATATCAGTCTATAAATTCCACAGTGTTCCAGATAACTTATTTCATTAATCAGAATGATTCCCTGGCCAGCCCTTTTCAAATGTGGCTATGGGCGATTCTTCGCATGCTTGCGAGCACGGCTCCTTTGAGACCCTTCAGAGGAGACAAAGAGATCTCACTGCTGCTGGTGCACCAGTCTCAGGTCTTTGATTCGCTTTTTTTCCTCTAGCATCTAAAGGATGGAGAAAATAAAAATGATCTTCTGGTGCATAATGTGAATAGTTTGTCCCTGAAGTAGATTGGTAAATGCTTTATGTATGCTGATACAATGCTTTAGATCTTTTTAAAGAGATACATGTTCCCTCTCACTCAAATCTGCACTTTTTATTTTAAGTGTCATTTTCACACATTACAATTGTTGAAACTGTGAGTCCCTGTTGTTGATTTGATGGAGCCTGTGGCTTACAAACCATAATGAGCAGGTTTTCACTTCATCATTTACATATTCCCTGTTTCTTTAAGTACAAGATAAAAAAATATATGAACATTAAGAATCAGTTTTGTTGTAGCAACTGGAGCTTTTTGGCTCTCTCTGTATGACACAGTTTCCTCAGTGTAATATATCTGACCTTGTGCTTTGCCTTCAGCTTGTAAAAGGCACTTTGAAAGACTGGCAGTGAAGAACAATCCTGAGGTATAAGTAAGAGTGCTGTTGAACTGTCTTTATTAAACAAGAAATTAATATTGAGTAACTTCCATTTTAGAAACAATGTTGTTAGTTACTCTGTGTGCTTTGTCTTCACTGAAAATAGTTCCAAATTAAGTCAAACCGAATTAACCTTTGCGCACATCCGAGATATACATAGTAGTGGAATTTCTTTCCTGAATGAGTCAGGAAATGAATTGATCGGCTGTTATTCAAATGACTCATTCATAAAATGAAGTAGTGTTATTAAACAAATCAGTTGAGTAATTGATTCAATGACTCACTCATAAAGGCAGTAATTTGTTGGACACTGTACTATCCTGTGAGGCCATGGGAGAGGATCAATGAATAGCAGTGAAGCAACACAACTGACGCTGGTAGGTTATGTGATAGTAACAACATGGTGGATGTAATACGCCTGAATTTCATTCATATTCATACTTTTTTAACAGTTGTGAAATAAGTTCAAATTCAAATGTAGTGCCTGCTCAGACAATATGCAATTTAGGACACACCGTCATTTGTTTTTCATTCCTGAATGAATAGGTGCTTGAATCGGTTGACTGAATGATTCAATGACTCCCTCATAGTTCAAATGTTATTGAACGAATCGGCTGGGTAATTAATTCAATGGCTCACTCATAAAGCCAGTCAATTGTTTAATTCCTGAATAAATCTGTGTTTGAAAGAATCAGTTGAGTTAATAATTCAATGAAACACTAAAAAAAAAACAGTTACTTGTTTCAAACAGTCACTTGTTTCATACCCAAAAGAATCAGTATTATAAAACAAATAGGTTGACTGAATAATTCAAATGACTCACTCATAAAAGACATCCACTTGTTGCCATCATCTGACATAAAAACCTTTGAAAAATCCCCACCACTAATGAAATGCTTGTTTGAAATGCTCAAACACAGACAGCCGCAGTGATGCAAACAGTGAAAACTCCCAGTTCTGCTGGACTCTTGCTCATCAGATTAGCGAAGCAGATGACTACGCAACTATGCTAAATAGTATATACACAGGAAAATAAGATCATCATGGCTATTTTATTCTTTAAAACCTTCAATTCAGTGGAGGAAAATGAATCTAGAGAAAGAATGAGAAAGAATCGAAATGATCGAAAGATAATGTGACCGTGAGAGAGAGATGGAGAGACAAACCGCAACCAGCTATTGTTGTGATCGCCTGTGTGAGTGGGTGACACGGCGTGGGTGGAAAGGTAATGGCTTTGAGCATGTGGAGTGATGAACATCTATCTCCCTGCACAACACAGGAGCTTCAGACTCTCAGCTTCAAAACTGATGAGTCATCTAGCACACCCTGTTTGTTCGTTTTCAGTCAGACATGCCCCAGAGAGTGTACTGTAACTGCTCTCCTACAGAAATCGAATTAGAGTCTGGATGTACAGGATTTCATCCGTTTAATCCAGCTAACAGGGGCTGAATACACACAGACTCTAGTACACAGTGAAGAGCAGACCACATGGGGGAAAATGATAACCTGAGTGCAATATGGATCCCGTTTACGTAGTCTTATCATTTTCACGCATTATGAGCAAACAGGATGTTAATTTATGCATTCAGCTATACAGTCTCAAGGGCCTCTAACTTTTTTTAAAGGAACAGATTTGCTATGGAAGAAGCTTTGATATTTTTAATTTGCGATTGAGTGTACGATCCATAATTACCACAGCTCATAGGGTGTCAGCAGTATCTCAACAACACCTTTGAACAGCAACACTCTCACATGCCTCTGTGGTGAGGTGTTTTCAAGCTTTGTTTTCAACGTCAGTGCTAATTCCTGTGGTTCTTCGTGTGCTAACTCATCAATTAGACATTTAGTGTATTTGGTCATAGATATGCTTACGCTTAGGTGAGCTTTCAGAGCAAAAGTAGCTCCGTTTACAGATTCTCATTTTATAAACTGCACAAAGGATTTGCTTCAAAGGCCAGCCTGTAGAACATTGTCTCTGTCTTGGCACTTCATAACGGTGTACAAAGTTGTTTAATGTGTACAAATGGATTAGATCTATTGTTATGCTGATCTTAATAGACTCATGTGCTGTAAGTATTTATAGAATTCCCATCTGTTATCTAATAAGTCTATTATAAACAAGTGCATGCATTTTGAAAGTATGCTCCTGAAGATCATTTTGATATTAAGATTCAAAGGGATTTTTCTCATGATTCATCACTGATAAATCTGGTACAAATGTCATTTCCTTTTTCTTCTCTCACTTTTCACATAAACGTATTCGCTATGGTAAATAGGGCAGTAAACACAGCTCTGTTATTGTTTGAATGGTTTGCTTTCAGTACAAGATGTGGCTGATCAAGAAATGCAGGGTTTCTACTGCCAAGAACAAAACTATTAGTTTGGCTCTGGTTTGAACTCTAA